TGCGTACATATATACGGACTGTTCATAACCTGCATTTTGTAATATCCTTCGATACAGTAATAGAATGACAGTTCATCGTCGCTTGGGGCCTCGTTCTTGCAACTCTGCTGGTGCCAAACCAGCTGTTCCTTTGGATCCATCAGCTACGTGGAGAGAGGGAGCTAGCTGCATGGGCAACAGCTAGCTCCTCACATTCTTTGACTCATGAAAGAGTCAATAATGGCAAATGCGACATCGACCGATATCATGTACATACATACATATACACACACACACACACACACACACACACACACACACACACTCATATATATATATATATATATATATATATATATATATATATATATATATATACATATATATATATACATATATATACATATATATATATATGTAAATAGATAGATAGATCTAGATACAAATATGTTGGACATAGACGAAGCTCATTATAACATAATGCGTGATTTCAACACCAAAGAAGGAGGAAAGGAAGGACGCCTCGGTCCATATAGATGTGGAGACCGGAACGAGCGCGGTGATCTTGTCAACTTTGTGACTGTACACAACTTTAATATCATGAATATCTACTTCAAGAAAACAATAACAAGAGATGGACATGGAGAAGCCCAACTTTGAAACATTTATTGAAATCAATTACATCTATAGCACTGTCAATAATGTTCAGACGTTGAACAAAGTAGATGTCAGCAGTGATCACAGGATGGTAAAAAGCAGAATTAAGATCTATACAAAAAAGAGCGGAGAAAGATGTTCAATTTGAAGCCACATGTATGTGTAGCTAAAGAACACGTAACAGAATTCCAACTCGCTTTGCAAAACCGCTACGAAACCCTAGCCACAGAACAGAAACGAAAACAACTATGTGGAAGATCTAAATCATCTCAACAGCTTCATCTTCAAACCACATGACGAGGCGGATGGAGACTGGAAGGAACTCCCAACAAAAACGTAAAAATTCTGAAACAGCACTTTGAACCTCATAAAGAAACGTCAGCTAGAGAAAAATGAGAAGCCGCAGAGCTGAACAAAATTCAGCTCTGCGGCTAACATCATCCATGACCATTAACATATGCAAATTATTGCGCCCACCCCTTTTCTTTTTCTTAGCAAGGACCCTATTAATTCTCTTTGCTCTGGAAACCACTCTGACTTTGTTCAGAAGGGGTCACTATCTTTATCACAAAGAATGGTTTCTTCAAAAGTTTTCCTAAGTTATACCTTTAGAACCCACACTGTAAAAGAATAATAGTCATACAAGTTACTTATGATCTAACTTCACCCTTAGAGGTAACTGAGAGAAGGGCTATATCAAAATCACTTAAGGAGCTTACAATATTTACTCATAAATTGAGTCATAAATCATTACACTTCTACAAATAAAAATCAAACAAACAAACAAACAAACAAACAAACAAACAAACAAACAAACAAACAAACAAACAAACAAACAAACAAACAAACAAACAAACAAACAAACAAACAAACAAACAAACAAACAAACAAACAAACAAACAAACAAACAAACAAACAAACAAACAAACAAACAAACAAACAAACAAACAAACAAACAAACAAACAAACAAACAAACAAACAAACAAACAAACAAACAAACAAACAAACAAACAAACAAACAAACAAACAAACAAACAAACAAACAAACAAACAAACAAACAAACAAACAAACAAACAAACAAACAAACAAACAAACAAACAAACAAACAAACAAACAAACAAACAAACAAACAAACAAACAAACAAACAAACAAACAAACAAACAAACAAACAAACAAACAAACAAACAAACAAACAAACAAACAAACAAACAAACAAACAAACAAATAAACAAACAAACAAACAAACAAACAAACAAACAAACAAATAAAAATAAAAATAAAAACATTCATTAAAAAAATGTCCAAGTGCATGTGGTTCAACCTGTCACTCTTTATACCTGTTTTTCCTCTCAGATATTTTTTCTTTCCTTCATCAGTTCCATGGACTCCCAAAGATGATATCTTCTTTCATTCTTGCCCACTGCACCAAGGACGTGAAAACCAAAACCTCAACAAAAACAAACAAACAAACAAAAATAGAAAAGAAACAATTATTCTAGTTTAGGAATGGTAAAACAATATAATGTTATCAAATAACTAAATCATTTCTTGAAGGAACAAAAATATTTCTTACAAACAAACAAATTATGTATAATATTTATATCATTATTCACGATCTGAGTAGTTATACGTACAGGGTAGTAATTTTGACCAAACATCATTTTAATATTATTCCATTATAAATGTCAAAAACACTTTAAATTTTAAATTTTCGATAATAATAATAAGGGAGACACATCAGGATGGTATTCAAGTGCCACGTGCCAGCCACTAGCTGTGAAGAAGACATACTCTTTATCTCTACTTTCCAGTTTGATCTCTCTCTCTATGGTTATAGTTATAGTAACAGGACTTAACACTA